CTTAACTAGTATGTTAATTATTAAAAAGATGAGCATAAAGATTTCCAGTGACACAACATGCAGCATTTTAATGATAACAATATATACCATACATTGTATATTTGCAGTAGCTTAAAACAGTAATTTTAATTATAATAACATTTCTGCATTGTGACTTGCTCTTTAAATAGTATCTCGTTACATTTCTATTGGGGCCTATTCTCGTTTTACTTTTTTTTTCCCCCCGTATATACATCTCGCAAACAGATTATTCCAGATCTGTCTTGTTCGTAGAATAAGCATTTGCGTTTCTCTACCCAAGGTCTTCATGCAGTTTAACCACTCTAAAATCCTTCTTCCGTATTTTGCTACACAGCCTAGTTTTCAGTGTCTTTATGCCACGCTTAGGAATAGACTTCTCTGCTGCTGAAAGTGGCCCTGCTGCTTAATTCCCCTGTGAATTACCCCTGAATCTGACAAACAATGTTCCGATGTTCTTGGTACTACTGAAGCTGGAAAGTATTTTTCTGATCCTCATTAATGGGGCCAGAATGTCATCCTACGACGTCTCAGGCAGCTTACAAGTGTTTTAAAAAAAATATTCATCTGAGAGCCTGGCCAAATTAAAGCAAGAACAGGCTTTCTTCCCAGCAATGCAAGTACTGGGTGCTGCAACCACGTGTGAAGCTCTAGAGTGGTGTTGAAGTTTACATCTAAAATGAGCGGAGGAACGCAAGCGCACATCTCGTGTGCGTCACTGGTGTGCTGTGCAATGCGGCTTCTTGCAGTTGGGAAAGTGGGAAGACGAGAGATGCTCAGCAGTTGACAGAGTCAAAACAACAGATGTCAATTTACCTAGGAGAGAGTCAAGGATGACGAGAAGGAGGATTAAGGGGTTCCCATCTGGTTTGTTTTGGGGGGGTTTTGGCAGCTACGCTGGCACCGTCCTTGGTATTATGCTGGGACTACAAGTTCCCTGTTGTCCATGGTAAGCTGTACCTTCTCTTACCAGACGTACAGTACTGAGTTGTGAAGTTGCAGTACCATTTTTGATAGCGATAACACTGTTGAAGTCTCAAAAGTATTTCCATTTTCCTCTTGAAGAGGGAGAATTTGTGACATTTGAAGCACTCTTTGTCTTCCACAGCATCTCAATTCCATATTATTTCTGCACTTCACTGCAAATCTGCTAATCTTTCTAGCCTGCGGTTCATTCTTTGTAATATTATATTTGTGGAATAATATTGAGATGTTCATTTTGGGTTTGGCAATGACAAGAAACCCTGTCTTAGTTTCCATTTCTGGAGAGTTGGAGGGGACCAGGATCCCTTACAAATCACAAAACGAGGTAGAGTGCGCTGTCAGGAAGAGAAGCAGACTCTAGCAGCTGAAGTACTCTTCTTCCTCATTTTTTTCTCTTCTTTGTGTATTATTGCAGTGGTTAGGGAAGCGTAGGGAAGTAAATGCCTCCTTTATATAAAAGAAGAAATAATTGGGAATGTGGAAGTTCTTGTTGCAGAAGTTGCTCCATCTCCTGTGAGAACTAGCTTTGCAACTGGCCTGAGCTGCTAGCAGCCACCAAACTGTATTATCTCAACAACAGGGACTTGTGTAAGCTGATCTGATACCCTTTTTGGAGGAGGAACCTCAAAAACAAAAATAAAAATCACAAACACTCTCACCTGGAAAGATGCCGTGATCACACGTAAGCACACAGGACTCAAGATTAAAGCTTAGTTTTAAACAAAAAGCATTGCTGTTCTTCACTGCATTGAAAGCAGTCTGCTGTGCCAGAAAGTTTCATGGGATGACTGTTACATGAAAAAAAATGACAAATAAGAATCTGTTCCACCATCAAATGCTTCTTCCTGCCCAGGGAGGTGGTAGAATCCTCATCCCTGGAGGTATTTAAAAGAAGGATAGATGAGGTGCTTAGGGACATGGTTTAGTGGTGGGATGGCAGGGTTAGGTTAAAGGTTGGACTCGATGATCTCAAAGGTCTTTTCTAACCAAAGTGATTCTATGATTCTATGATTCAATGGATTGTGTCTCTTAATCAGTGAACGTTAAATGGAGTAACGATACACCAAGCAGTGACCTAAAATGTGGTGGGTCATCTTAAGTTCTAGAGATGTTTATGAAATTTCTAGCTAGGGATTATTCTCTTACGAACTTTGCTCATTCCAGTTCCCCTAAATCTGTTTTCGAGTGGTTCTTATCGGCAGAAAAAATTATAATCTGTCATTACAATCAAAAAAGATTAGCACCATTTAGAAGAAAAAAAGCCAGCCCCCATCAGATTAATTTTTCATCATTTTTATTGTGTACAAACTGCAGTGTCTCCTCCTACTGACATGTCTCTACAAGACTGATACGTCTTACTCAAACCTTTGGCATTACATTTATTTTACATAATAACCTCTATACATCCTGCAAAATAAACAGTTTTCATTATTTCTAGTGATGTTTTTACATACTTAATAAAGCAGGCACCAGAATTTCTCTGGTAGCTAAAGTTTGAAGCCTACTCAACTTGCTTTCTCATGCTTCAATTGTATTTCCAAAAGTTAATTCTTCAAATAAGATTGGGTAGTTTAAATCAATAAAATGTTTTCTAAAGTAAAAATGTCTGCATCTCAGATCTCACTAAAAGGTGGTCTGAGAGTAAAATAAAATTTGACTAGTTAAAAAAAAATGCCAATACGGTAGTGGACTTTGAAATCCCAGAGAGTTAAGTAATAGCATTCTTAGAAAAGCAATAGGATGACAAGCGATTCCAGCTACAGAGCACATTACTGAAATAAAGTCCTCTACTCCAAGGCGGTGGAAGTTACGCATAAATTACAGGATTGTAAAGTCAAGTCTACAGCTCCTCTAATGACTTAGTATTTTTTCTGCAATTAAAATTGTGGCTAGAAAGCTTAAGGGGATGGATAATTACTAGCAATTAACAGTCGGATCATGTGAGATGCTGAGGTCTCTCCGCTCCTGAAGAAATTACTGAGAACTGTGGTTGCTTACCATTTTGCAGGTTTAAATCCTGTAACACTGCAGGTGAACTGCTGATCCAGACACGATACATGAAATGGCTGCTGCGGTGCTGTGTGCAGAACCAGTATACATTATCAAGGGATTGTCTTAATGAACAAAACATCTTTCCTTTCATAAACAGAAGGAAAATGTTATTTGCAAAAATAATCTTTACATGTCGTGCTCCACTGACGAGCATATTGAATGCAAAATGTTCAGAGGAATTGACTTACATTTAGTTAACCGTCCCTGTGTTTGTTTGCTTCAGCGGTATACCTTATTTTGAA